ATGGCCAGTCTCTGTTAAAGAGTCTCCATTCCTAGCTACACCGAAAAAAGACCTCATTATGTCCATTGTACTATTGCCTAATATACCAGAGAACATTCATATGACATCTCGATGGTATATCATTTCTCGTATATTCTTAAGCCCATCTTCAGAATATACTTATACTTATATACCGAATATACTTTAACAGTATATGATATCATACGAATATTCTGTATTTATACAGAATGTTATGACGATGATTCAAAGTCATTTTTCGTCATTCGACGTCAGTGTACTAAATAATGATGTAAAATAAACGTAACCTTTTTCGCGAAATATTATCGTCATAAATATATCGTCATTTAATTGTCATTTTTAATTTTAAATAAATAAATAATAAAATAACATTATTAATTACTATCTTTTTTAATTAACTATAATGTGTAAGAATTAGACGACCATAAGCGGTCATGAAAGAAATTCGGATTATAAACAGCTAACAGAGAGGAGCCGTCGTGGTCGTGCAGACTAAGTGTCAGATTAGTAAACGAGGGATCCCGAGTTCAAATCCTGTCGGCCTCCGTTTATTTTTCCGAATCTAATAAATATCTTTCATCTCAGAAGTGGGATTCAGCCCATGTTACCTCAGAGAGGATACAGCCTATGTTACCTGACAGGGAGAATTCAGTCGATTTTGTGTGTGTCGTTTGTATATTGTTCAAAATGAACCAATACGGGGAGTTAAAATACTTCAATGTCGTGTCGATCGTTCAAAAGTAGACGAAAAAAGTCGGGGAGTAAAAGTACTCCAATGTCGTGTCGATCGTTCAAAAAGTGAACGAATTCAGGAGCAGAAGCTCCAAGTTTTGGCTAAAATTCCGGTAAATGAAGACTCGGTACATTCGGGACGAATGTAATGCCAGAATGGCCGAGCTGTAAGAATTAGATGACCCTAAGTGGTCATGAAAAAGATTTGGAATATAAACAGCTAACAGAGAGGAGCCATCATGCAGACTAAGTGTCAGATTAGTAAACGAGGGATCCCGAGTTCAAATCCAGTCGATCTCCGTTTATTTTTCTGAATCTAATAAATATCTTTCAAATGTATAAATGAAAAAAATATTTACCATATTTAATACCATTATTAACAAATTCATAAAAAAGTAAACAAAATATATACAACAATTTGTAAACAATTTTCGTAAGAAAAATAATTCTCATTAAACATAATATAGGTTCACGGCTCTAAATATATAATTAAACTATCTACTTAAGAATTACTATCTACTTAAGAATTACATATGCAATCAAAATTTTAAAATTGAGATCATTTATATGACAATATAGTAACATTCATTAATTGGATCTATCATATTTTATGTCAAAACTTCCGTATTCACTTATATCATCATTTCAGTTGCAGGTTTCATCCCATTATAGAAGTTAAGCAGCATCGAGCAGGATTCGAAGAAGGATGCGTGACCGTTTTAGAAACATGCTAATAATACAAAATAAAAAATGTTTCATTACTTTCTTTCATTTTTTTTAATTTTTTTCACTTAGTTTCCGTAAGAAGTGTCACATATATGAAAGATATCTATTAGACACTTAGTCTGCACGACCACGACGGCTCCTCTCTGTTAGCTGTTTATATTCCGAATCTCTTTCATGACCGCTTACGGTCGTCTAATTCTTACATATATTATAGATTTTCACGATCTATATGGCTGTCTGGAATACTCTTATACATGCCCTACATGATATACTGTTTTTAAACCATTTTCATCTTATGGCCATACTGCGAGATATTCTCCAATACATACTAGGGATTAGGTTAGTGAGCGGTAGTAATCTAAGTACATTCCACAGTATATTGCAGTACGTATTTCGAATGTTTGGAGAATATCTCGAATATACTTATATGATATCTCGTGGAACGTTCTCAGAATAGATGAGTGCTATTAGAGTTAGTACGATTAAGAAGTTATAAGATAAAAAAGATAACACTTTATTTTTGTTAACTAATCAAACATTCGAAATATTTAAAAAACTCGAATATATATTCAGAAAATATCAAAAATCTATTTGTAATAATAAAAAGTTTTTAGTTAATAAGTTTCTTAATATTTTAAGTAATAGTCACATCTTGCAATGTCATAATTTAAATACAAAAATAGCAAACAGATTTGCAATTTATAGATGCAATTTATAGATTAAGGATATCTAAAAAAGAATTATTAAATATAAATATTATGACAGTAAGTCAATGGTAATGCATATACTAGCCAATATAATATTAGAAATTACTTATTTTGAATATTAAAAGCACTAATTAATATTGCTTTTAATATTCAAATTGAGTAATTAATCACTACTTTTCACCATTCGATTTCTATAAAGACATACGTTATATATCTAAAAATAATTTTGTTAAGATTTGATTAAAGAAAAAGAATTGTGTCACAATCTACGAAAAATAGAATCTGCCTGAATAATATTCGAACCGTTTATATGTCTCGTAAGTTTTTCTGAGGTTATGTATGTTCCATCATTTTATAAGTTTTTCTGAAGTTATGTATGTTTCATCATTTCATACGCTTGCGCTAAAGCTACCCTCTCTTAAATTAGAGAAAAAATGGCGGACTAATCAAAACGCTTCAAAATCGAGTTTCTGATGGTCAGACTCTGGCTGCATTTCGATATTCACTGTCAGTACTAAAAATTTATATAATATATATAACATACGTGATCTGAACTATATATTTTCAGTGGCAGTAAATATCGGAATGCAGCCTCTTACTAAGAGTGCAGTCCACTTGGTGCTACAAATGTGTTACGTCCAGCCCGAGGTAAATATTTTTTTTGAAAATGGATGGGGCTTGGAAGGACGCTCCAAATACCCTCTCGCAGGTGGGCGCGCTGAGGTGTCCCTATGAGTCGGACACACTGTGCTGAGCCATGAGTGCGAGTCAACGTCTTGAAAAAGCGCTATGACTTCGACTGCGTGACGTGCGTCCGTTGGTCCGTAATTTAGGCAAGAGAATTTAATCTCTTTTGCCAGGGACAGGACCATGCGCGAATCTTGGGATAACGAGGAATGAAAGAGGGAGCAAATAACTAAAACGATAAATAATTTAAATTTTACATGTAATTAATAATTTTAAACGATTACAAGGTTAGCAAGCTAGCAAGATCGTGTCATTATTTCTTGCGTTGAAATACATTTACTGACGATATATTTACATTTGAAAAAATAATAAAACAAGAAGGGTGTTACGTACAGAAATTCATGTAATATAAATATTCTAAAAATTGACGGATGTATTGTTTGGTTTCTGTGTACAAATTCTATTATTTTTTGATATGTTTATCTATATTCTAATTATTCTTATCTTACATAGTTTAGTATTTTTAATCTGTTGTTAATCTATTTAAATTTGTATTTTGTTATCTGTGTGATTATTTCGGAGAGGAGGTCGGGTTTTCGATAGTGAGGTCTAGAGGAGGAGGGGAAGGAGTCCGGAGTTCGCAGAACTCGTCTAAGGATTTCTGGGTGCGGAAATCTGGATATATCTGGAGGTTAGTGTCATGGCGCTCTGGGAAGAGTACGCTGAAATCTGGGGGTGATCCAGGTTCAGATGGTTTGATCGGGGAATAGGACGGAGGAGATATGTATAAATAATGGGGTCTCCTGCTGGAACAACTCGTGGTTTCTTCATGTGTTAAAACCTCAGATGTCCTAGGCGAGGGATAGTTCCCTGATTGACGAGCTCGCTTGTTCCGACGGTAACGGAGTCTCTTCAGGGCTCGCCTCCGTCTCTGAGCGTCGGAAAGAGTGGATGATGCAGCTTTCACTAGAAGAAATGGATTTGAAATATGAAGGAAATGTCATTAGTCGTGAACCTTAAGGCTATCTCTGAAATATTTCAGGAAACCGAGAGATCCGACAGAGGAGAGAAATTAAAAAGGGAAAGAGAAAATTGTAAGAGAGGAGAGAAAAAAGAAAAGAATAGATTTCCCGAATTACTCGGCAGTCATGAACCTGCTGAGTGCTCCGCAACGCATAGGGAGCCCGAGAGGTTCGACGGCTGAAGCCAACAGAGAAGAAGCAGATTTTGCCGAATTATTCGGCGGCC